AATTACCCAGTTCCAGGTATTCTGTAGAAGCAACAGAAAACAAACTAAGATACCTCCTTTATGTGGATTGTGTTGCTTCTCCTCTCAGCAGCATCTGACTCTGTTCACCATAAGCTCCTTCATAAGACAGTCTATCCTTCTCATGACTTCCATAATGTACTAGTCTGTTCCTGTTGCTTATAACAAAATATGCAGAACTGGGTGATTTATAAAGAAAATAAAATGTATTGCTTACAGTTTCTGAGGCTGGGATGTCCAAAGTCCACAGTGACCCAGAGGTCTCACATTGCAAGACGGTGGAAGCAGAGACAGCAAGAAAGAGACAGTCCCTCATGGCCTGTCTTTTTAAAGCCCTCAAAACCACACCCATGACCACCATTTTTAAGCCATTCACTATGGCATGGTCCTACAATCTAATTACCTCTTCAAGGCTCCACCCTTCAGTTACCATAGTAGGATTTTCCACCCTCTTAACAGTCACAGTGGGGGCTAAGTTTTTAATACATAAAACTTGAGGGACACAGTTCAAGCTTCAATGAGTTTTGGGGGGACATAATCAATCCACTACATTCGACCTCTAGCCCCACAAAACTCCTGTATTTTCAGATGCAAATATATTCATTTCATCCCCAAAGTCTTGATTTGTTATAATTCAAAAGTCTAAAGTTCAATGTCCCATCTGTGAAATCAGTAAGTTATCTACTTCCGAGATACAAAGGTGAGACAAACATAGGGTACATATTCCTGTTCCAGAAGGGAAAAATAGGCCAAAAGAAAGGGATAACAGGTCCTCAGCAAGTCTGAGACCCAGCAGGGCAGGCATTAAACCTTAAAGCTGGTGAATAAGGAACCTGGACTCCATGTTCGACATTCTCTGAATGCTGGTGTGGGGGTTGGGTCCCCAAGTCCTTGGGCAGCTTTGTTCCTATGGCTTTCCTGGTGGCAGAACCACACTTCAGGCTGGCATTCCACTCTGGTAGCTCCGTAAGTCTGGTCTCTCCATGGAGGTTCCGCTCTCACGACTCCACTAGGCATGACGCTGATGGGTTTCTCTGCTGCAACTCTGACCCCACATTTCCACTTGGCATTGTTCTAGTGAACGCTGTCTGTGGTGACTTCTCCCCTGCAATAGATCTCTTCCTGGGACCCTAGGCTTTTTCATACATCTTTTGAAATTGGCA